TTTTAAATAATTTCTTAAAATTTTTTTTGAAAAAATGCACTTACTAATTCTACATTTAAATATAAACTTTTCTTTTCGATGCTCACCATACAACACCGAGTACAAATCTAATTGCAAGTAAAACATCCAATTATAAGTCAATGTAACCTACTCCTGAACTCACTAATTGGGTAGTCAAGTCATTATACCTAATATTTCCTTTCAATTCCTTATTTGGTAATTGGTAGGGAACCATTTTCCAGGAAAATGAAATGCTTTACTCTCCTCGTGGTGGACCATTTTCCTGGAAAATGAAATGCTTTACTTTTTCCTAACCCACTCTTTTTTTATTAAATAATTGAAGCTAAATGTTGTCAACTACGCGTTATTATAGTTGTTCATTATTTTATTAAAATTATTAAAATTTTGTTTAAAAAATATTAATTTTATTTAAATTGATTGTTAATAATAGTTAATATTTGATAAAACAACAAATTTTTGTTATTTAATAAGTTAAAATTAGTTTATAAATTGATATTTTTAAATATTATAATTATCTATTTAAGAAAAAAATATAATTAGTTAAATTTTAGTGGTATTAACAAAATAAACAATGGTCATAACCACACTTGTCAACCATTATGTGACAAGTGATGAGTTGTATTTTATATGTTTTAACTTCCTATTTTAGTTTTGATTTTATTCATATTTGGATAGGTAAAATGTGATTTTTTATTGATTTTACATAAATTTCATTCTTTGTATAGAGAATGACTTGAGTGCATAAGAATAGAAGTTTTGGGACTTGTTGCATAATTTTTAAAACTATAATTCCATTGAAAAATCGTTTTCCCGGAAAGGAGAAAGCACCAAAATTACTAAACTCGAATTCAGCATAAAACTGGCCCGTTTGGCTTCTTAATTGAGAATTAGAGGATTGGTAGTAGAGCAGGGTGGCATCTAATTCCATATAAGCAACGAAATAACCATAATTATCAACAGAAAATGAATATAAACCCTCACTCCAATATGTGGGCAACATCTTGCCACTAATTTCTGTCCACAAACTAGGCTCTGTCATAACACCAAAGAATCAAGGAAAAAACTTATTTTTAGCCCTTTACCTTATTAGATTTGTAGGTTTTAGTCATTTACCTTATACTATGATACTTTTAGCCCCTCACCTATTGGAATTGAAGAAAATAGCCCTCACTTCCTAATATTTTGTTAATTCTGTTAACTGATTGTTAACTCTATTAACCGACTATTAATTCTATTAGCTGAAAGTAGGTTTTTGCCAACTAATAGTCAGCTAACAGTCAACTAATGGAGTTAACAGCTAGCTAACAGAATAATTCTATTAACTAATTGTTAACTCTATTAGCTGAAAGTAGGTTTTTACTAGCTAACAATCAACTAATAGTCAGCTAATAGAATTAATATTTAGCTAATAGAACTAACAAAATGTTATAAGTGAGGGTTATTTTCTTTAATTCTAATAGGTGGGGGGCTAAAAGTATCATAGGATAAGGCAAGGGGCTAAAATCTACAAATCCAGTAAGGTAAAGGGCTAAAACTAGGTTTTTGCCAAAGAATCAGTTGGATGATCAAAAGACTGCCAAACCTTCTCATTGTTTCCATCAAATAGCAAAAGGTTACCCTAATTAGTTAACTTCAACCCATAAACCCTAATTAGTTAACTTCAACCCAGAAATACATTTACCTATTGTTTTAGTGGACCAAACTAGACTGCTATCAACATCTTGTAGTATGTTATACCCTAAATTGAGTCTTATGAGAATTAGGACTTGTGGAGACATCTTAAAAATAGTCCTATCAAGATTAGGTAGGTTATATTCTACTAGAATTAGAATATCCAAACACCAATCAAATAAAGTTGTATTCCTAGAATAACTTTATGTAAATATCCTATAAATACCTCAAGGATCAACCTAAGCAGGTAGATTATTTTCTCCACTTTCTCTTTATTATAAGCTCTCTCCATTCTTGATCAATAAAGTACTTGGTTCCATGCCATATATTCTATTTTTCAGTGTTAACATTTGGCACCCGCCGTGAGCCAAGTTCCTATTCACCCACGAAAATCACATGGAAAATTTGGGAAAGTTGTTGCCATCTCCTGAGGATCTTCAAAATCCAAGAAATAACGAAGAAATAAGCAGTTCCTCTTCGACAAGAGCGAACTCAGGAAGAACAGCAAACAAGACTAAATTAGGGGTTTTGTCAATCGCGTCACAAGTGGAGAAGCTTGCCCGAGAGATGGAAGAAACAAGACAGAGTTTAAAGATGATTGAGTAGGCTATAACATCTTTAATAAACACTACAAACATTCCAGCACAAATCTAGCGGCAAGCACTGCCTCAAAAGATCACAGCACAAAGAAAAGTCCGACGATCTTCAAGAAAAGCACCAGATTTGGTGCAGGACGCCAGATTTGGTGCAGGAAAGCAGTGATTATGATAAGAGTTACGTGCCTTCAAGATCAACGGAATTGATTGTTGATACAAGTTTGCAACTGACCTTGGCCTTTACTAAATATAATTTCTAAAACAAAAGCGCAATATCTAGCTCGTAGGGAAATAGAGGAATAGTTGTGCAGCAAATATACGGAGCACCCATTACACTAGCGCAATTAGTAAAAAAAGATGTGCAAGTTTATACTAATGATATCTATAGAGAAATAGAGACATTACGCTCATATATATCGAAGATTGAAGCAAGAAGATAGAGATGGCTAGAATTAACGCACACAGCTTTAGTAGAAAAAGCTTTTGTAGAAGAAATAATCAGGGAGCCTATACTGCTAAATTTTAAAACTCCACAGCTAGCAAAATATGATGGGACACAGGATCCACTTGAGCACATACAAGGATTTAGGATGGTAATGATGGTTCATGGGGCTTCTAATGCTTTGCTATGCAAACAATTTCCTACAACCTTCAGGAAAGCAGCGTAGGCTTGGTTTGCAACACTGCCTGAAAGATCTATCTGGACCTTCGATCAATTTGTGAACATGTTCATTAATCATTTTATGGCTAGTAGGACTCCTCAGAAAACCAATCATCACATGCTAACAATCAAACAAAAAACAGATGAATCATTAAGAGCCTATATAGCAAGATTCCATAATGAAGCTATGCAAATTGAAAAGCTAGACCAAAACGTAGCGATGCATGCTTTGATGGATGACCTAAAAGATTCCA